CCCCCCCCCCCCCCCCTCTCGGAGAAACAATTCTCGACTACCAGCGTCAAACGGCTTTAAGTTTGAACAACTTCAAAAGCTGTGGATCATACTTTTGAAGCAGACCTCGCATTTTTCCCAAAGATTCTTGTTTCGTCTTCCACAACGACTGAAGAAACGTTTCCTTGCGGACCTTGGCTCTGGGCATTTGTTTTAAGGAAGGCTTTGACTTGTTCTATGTATGCACTGACAATCGAAGTCATATACCTCTTCGATTCTGGTGATTGCTGCGTCGATTGTGAAGGGCGTTGCCGTTGGTATCTGCTTTTTCAGGTGCAAGCAAAATGTGACCGAGAAAAGTCATGATGGCTGCTCAAAAATCTGACTAGAGGAGAAACTTCACTTATCATCCTCAAGCAGCCCGTAGAACAGTTTACCACAAGTACACTAGTTGGTTGGACAAATAGGAGAAAACGATATATTATGCCCATTTTTCATCTACAATACATTAGGCCATTGTACCACTTGTATATATTCTAGGAAAGGGGCTTTGTTCCCCAATATATTTCGTGTTCCCTTGTTCCCTAATTTTGTTTTCCTTTGTTCCCGTGTTCCCATTGTAAAATTTACAGTGTTCCCTTGTTCCCCAAAAGCCCCTGGGAGACCCTCTATACTGACAGCTATATTCCAGGATAAATTGTAATTTTTCAAACTTTAAAAGTCATTCACGGCACATATTTATGTTGTGATGGTTTGTATTGTGCTTTAGTTTGTATATTGTTCAGTTTTGGTATTAAATACGGTTTAAAATGTCTTTAGACAGTTTGTTGACTTTTGCTATTTTTAGCAGTTCTTGTGACATAAAACTGACATTTGAAGTAGGAGTATTTTTCAGGGAGGTCGCGTAATTTTGAAAACGGGTGTAACGGATTCAATGTTTTACGTGCGTATGATAAACGCAACTTAAGGCTGCATTCCAGTTACGCGTTTTTCATACGAGCGTACACGCACGTAAAAGTTGAATTCGCTTAAAATTTCATATAAGTGCAAATAACCTTAACAGTGAACCCCCCCGGAAAATGACGAATTTTCGGGAATTTTGACCTATAAGAGGGCTAAAAACAGCCTTTTCTAGTGCAAATGGGGGGGGGGGTTCGTCGGAAATTTGAAAGTTTTGTCGGAAATTCAGAAGGCTTCGCCCCTCCCCCCGGAAAAAGTGAATTTCCGCCACTGAACCTTAACAAATACACATTAAATCATACACAAAACTGAATGCTGTCCAGTTGTAAATTTAGTTATTTCACAAGTAGGATGTAAAGCGAATTCAACTTTTACGTGCGCGTGTACGCACGTATGAAAAACGCGTAACTGGAATGCAGCCTTTACATACAGTTAGGCCCATTTCCACTCAAGAAAAATTTCCACGAACACAAAATTGAAACCTCCAATGGGAAACGCTCATTTATGTACATAGCTGATCGGAGCGGGCAACAATTTTTCACTTGTACATGTTGCTCGGCGAGATACAATACACCCGGGAGATAGATTTATCGGGAGATAGGAAACTGTCTGTAATAGAGGTGTACGTAAAGGCCTCTCAAATGCCACATTTTTTAACATAAAAATATCTTTTTGAAAACTTGAATATATAAACATATACAGAGCATAATAATGTTTACACTTTTCACACTACTCTAAAATTAATTTAAATTATTTCATATTCTTCGTCGATGTCTGACTGAACGGTTTCAAATTCGAGATGAGCTCCATCTAAAAACATAGAATACTTTGCAATTATTTCAACTTTTCTATAATAGTCTAGGACCTGTATATGAGTTTGTATGCGTTTCATTTAGGACAGGTAATCTCAACTGTTTTAGGGTAAAATGACCATGGCGGTCAACATGGTATATGTGCCCAAACCTGAATCCGGGACGAAAGTCCTGAAAATGACCCCGCCCTGAAATGGCAGTGTCGACATAGCTCTAACTTCCGAAAAGGAAAAGCAATAGCCTTTCTGAAGTGCTTATAGTGTTCAGAAGGGTTGCTTTTAGGGGTGGTCATTGGAAGGAAAAATTTGTCTAAGTATAATATTTTGGAAGAAAATGACCATGCATCACCCCAGGTAAATTGCTAATTATGTACAAAATAACTATAAATATGCCTGGCAGAAATTATTTTTGTTGTACTTTTACATAATCATGAATGGCTGAAGAAGATTTCAAAGGTTTCATCAAATTTGGAAACAGTGCAGTGTATTTTTCTTCGATATTTTTCAGTAAGACAGTAACTTCAGAGTTCTGCACATTACTAAATCCAACAGTTACGACATTCTTGCCTTCCTTGAAGCTTTACTTATTAAACAGAACCACCTACAACTTAACACAGGACTGAAAGCGAGCAAAGAACTTCAACTATTTACATAACAGGTAACTTTTGACGCTATCTTTGTCTACCTTCTTTCTCCACTTTCTGACAGTCGGGTTAGTTGTTTTCTTATTGTAAATATAATATATATACATACAATTGTGTAAAATAACTAAACTTAGTCTAAGTATTAGTAGCTAAGTCTTTGCCTTGTTAATCCTCTTTTTTCCGGTGTCGTGTATTCTTCCGCTCTTGCTCTGTATATATGCTGTATGTATAACGTATTGTATTTCATTCTGTCTGGTGATGACTTTGAAATAAAGTCGAAAATTTACAGTGTCATACACTCGTCTTGTTTTAATTCATATCTTGAATTTCAAGATGACCTTATTTTTCCGAATTTGTTTCTTTTTCTATGTATTTAGATTACAGTATCCAGAAGTAATTCATTGTAGAATAGTCCCAATCGAAAAATTGAAAACATTAGCTGTATTCGAAAGGAGAAAACCTCCCAATACAGTTGTCTTGTCAGAATTTAAAAGAAGTAATTTAAAAGTCACGCGCAAGTTCGTGAAAACTCCTCGTGGGCTACATGACAGGGGGGGGGGATATTTTCACGAAACGTTTGTTCGCCACCACAGAAACCTAACTAAATACACTATATTTATTGAATGTTTATGATTGATGATAAAAATACGCAAATATTTATTGTTTTTATCATCAATCATAAACATTCAATAAATATAGTGTATTTAGTTAGGTTTCTGTGGTGGCGACCCTGTCATGTAGCCTACGAGGAGTTTTCACGAACTTGTGTGTGACTTTTAAATTACTTCTTTTAAATTCTGACAAGACAACTGTATTGGGAGGTTTTCTCCTTTCCAATACAGCTAATGTTTTCAATTTTTTCAATACAGCTAATGTTTTCAATTTTTCGGCGCCATATATGGCATATATGGGATTGGCGCCATATTTCACGAAATATCGAAGATAAAATACACTGCACTGTTTCCAAATTTGATGAAACCTTCTTTGAAATCTTCTTCAGCCATTCATGATTATGTAAAAGTACAACAACTGGATGATATTTGCCAGATTCGGCGATAAAAAGCAAACAAGACGGCAAAATATGGCTGAAATCGTGTTTTCGTGGGGGGTAAATGAAATAAAATGTATTATATTTAATGAAAATAACGACAATCCACAATTATATTAAATTGAGCATAGTTTTTCACCCCATGATAATTGTTTTTCATTTTCTTGCAAAATATTATACTCAGACAAATTTTTCCTTCCAATGACCACCACTAAAACCAACCCTTCTGAACACTATAAGCACTTCAGAAAGGCTATTGCTTTTCCTTTTCGGAAGTTAGAGCTATGTCGACACTGCCGTTTCAGGGCGGGGTCATTTTCAGGACTTTCGTCCCGGATTCAGGTTTGGGCACACATACCATGTTGACCGCCATGGTCATTTTACCCTAAAACAGTTGAGATTACCTGTGCTAAATGAAACGCATACAAACTCATATATAGATCCTAGACTATAAGGTAATCAATCGATGTGTGTCTCAACCTCGTATTCAATCGCGCTTGCGGCTCTAAGCGCAGAAGCCCTGGGTACGAGGTTGTGTAACTGGTCGTTCTGCGCCTGCGTTACCTCTCGCTTATGATCAGCGGAAAGGTTTATCCACGGTTATAGATCAAAGCTCGGTATTATAGATTCATGTCACACTGTCTTCAAAGATACATTAATAACAATATAAGGTGTAACCTCGTTAGCTACATAACTGTGACTGATAACGACTGACCGTAGCAATATTCGACCACGGTTATCGTGATTCGACAGAGCCATTACTGACCTACATTCGGCTGAGTGGGCACTTCATACGGTGGCCAGTGAGGAGGTCGGTTATCAATTATTTCAAAGATTGGACGTGATGATGATTTGTTGATCTACAGAAATACAAAATTACAATTAAGAGGCAATTTTTTTCTATGTCACGTATTTGCGATAAAAAGTGTTCAAAACCTAAAATCTTTTTGGCGTTCCTCTCAAAATTGCTTTGTTTTAGCTTTATTCTCTAGTTTATAAAGTTAGCAACCTTTTTGAATACTTTCCGGTTGAGAAACATAAATAGCAAAAAATTGCCAATTAAAATACAATAATCAGTAACGCTTTAAAAGTCACGCCATATTTACAGAAATTTAAGCCAAACTTGCTGAACTTCAGATATCATTTTCTCTTTGGCGTACCATCTAAAATCTCCTCATTTTGGCATTATTTTACAGATAAAGGACTAAACATACTTTCTAAGTTTGTTTGCCGATTGAGAAACGTATCGAAAAATAGAAATGTTGGATGTATAGTCATAACAGCAAGTGGTATATTACATTCATTAGTTTTGAGCGCGTGTTACGTAACATACAAAAAAATCTCCTCTTAATTACAACAACACTGACTACGAATTGTGCACATGCAACTGCGGAACACAATGAATAAACACGCTTCTATAGTCATAAGGAATGGGGACCTTCTATTCATAATAGAAATGGAACACTCAAGTCTGAATGAAGCTGAATTCTACAACAAAAGCTGAGAACAAAACGGTTTTTCAGACAAACTCAAGTGTTAAAAAAAACCCGAAATTATCACAGCGATATACGATATCGAAATATTGTCATGATAATTGCTACATCGTCGAAACGAAATTGAAAATCATTTTTAAGTAATATATAACATGAGCAGCTGAATAGCTAATTTACATGTACAAAAGCGAGCTTGCATCGACAGAAACTGAATGTCTGTATCCGATTCTCAGATATTGATTAATTAAACATTCGTTTCTTTTGAATTTCCTGCATGAATGATGAGCGGCCGTGTTGGATATACAAGCCGAAGGCGAGAGTTTGTTTATCCGATACATGCAACACGGGCGTGAAACGTCTTGATGAGAACATTCGTATTCTTCAACAATTTAAAGTATATGAATGATATTTGGTGGGAAAATTGAACTAAAGTTTATGTAAATTAGCATGATTCTGTATCAGATATACAAACTCCTGCACGCTCATGATTTCTTTTGTGTTTTCTTCATGAATTATTTCACAATTAATTTAATTAAATATTTATTTTAAATCTTGAGCAACTCTACCTCTCTTAACGAAATACAAAGGTCATCGAATTCAATTTCTGTGTCACAATAAAAACCCTATAAATGACGAGAACATGAAATATTAGTTTACATGAACCCAGTAGACCTCACAATAACTTAAACAACTTTTCTACCATCAAACTCTTCAATATGAGAAATATAACTTAAACAACTTTTCTACCATCAAACTCTTCAATATGAGAAATATAACTTAAACAACTTTTCTACCATCAAACTCTTCAATATAAGAAATATAACTTAAACAACTTTTCTACCATCAAACTCTTCAATATGAGAAATATAACTTAAACAACTTTTCTACCATCAAACTCTTCAATATGAGAAATATAACTTAAACAACTTTTCTACCATCAAACTCTTCAATATGAGAAATCTCGGGCAACAAAGAATCATTAGTTAATAACGACGTTTTGTCAACACGGACATCACTCGAACATTGGTATAACTAATTCTGGTGGCGTTTTGCATTATAGTGCTCGTGTAAGGAAGCGAAAAAAACTTTAAAACTTTATGTTTGGGCAAGCAAGTATATTTTGAAGATTACCACAAACGGACACAAACACAGTTTTTAATCCAGTTCTCCCTGGGTAATATGGCGTCTGTGTTGACAAAAACGTCGCTTGCTCTGCCCAGTGAACTATATACATGGAAGGCTGACTTCAGTCATTGACGTAATCAAAAAGTGAAGCCAAAGATGGCGGATTTTGAAGCCATTCTTGCGCGTCATTCTCAGTCCCCTTACCCGCGCGGCCAAAACAATTTTTGTATTTTCATGGCGGGAAGTGATGGGTCCGCGACTCTCGGGTTGTGTTTTTCTTCATTTTAGAAGAGCAAAAAAGGAAATAAACTTTATTTATTTCATGTAAACCTGATTTCCTTCATCTAATAGATATGTCTACTGCATTTTCCCACTGTATGTGTGAGTAAATCTGTATTTTTCGTTGCGAATTCAACAACTAGTTTCAAACTTTTTTTTGTTTTTTTTTTATATAAAATCTGTATTTTTATAAATTGGGAATTTATTTTTGCTTTGGTTGTTTTGTTTTCTTGTTTCTATGGTGCTTTTCAGTTTTCACACCATTATTTAGCTTATTTTAGTCCGTTTTCCTGACCTAAAACTGCTTTTTAACTGCAGTTTTCGAGGCAGTTTTTTAGCCAATTTAATTCCATACATGTAAGAAAATTTTGTTTTTTTATTTTTTATTTAATAAAATCACTTTGATGATTGCCTTTTAAACTTAAACTGTTCATTTTAATGAGTTATTTATGTGTGTGAAACCCTTGTCGATAGGGGCAGTAGAGATATTTTGAAAGAATAGAGTGACATTTGTGTTTTGTTTTGTCACTCTTTGTCATTTACAAAAACAGCAATCCCGCGCTATTTTGCTTTCTTTCCACTCAAATATCGCATCTTTTAAATAAATAATAATTAAAATTTAGAACTGAACCCAAACAAAACATCAGAATTCAAGTTTTCATTCAAATTTCGTCTGTTTTTCATCAAATTTATGCTCGGAAAATAAAGAAAAATATAAAAGTTTTGTTGACCGCGCACGTAAGGGGACTGAGAATGACGCGCAAGAATGCCTTCAATTTTCGCCATGTTGGCTTCACTTTTTGAGCTCGAGTCAGACTTCAATGTTATATAGTTCAGTGGCTCTGCCTCGTACCCAGGCATCTCTTTGTAAAAAAAACAGTGATGCGCATATGACGAATTTACATGAAGTATTGTAGTGGGGAGAGATGGCGAAGGGGCTGATGGGAAGAGTGCACTTGAACCTTTCCCAACAGCCCCTTCGCGCGTCGCCTGCCTACCTGTAATTATTTAAAGCGCCTGGGTACGAGTCAGGCTTGCTAAAGCGCATGGTTCACATTGGTTGTAATGCATCGGCGATCTATTGTATTCTTTCCCGACAAAGCATTTTACACACCAATGACCACAGACAATGGAAATCCCCGATTCTTACGACCAGTGTGAACCAGGCATAAAGAGCCTCCTCTAGGACCAGGGTTTGTGGTGCAATGTTGCAACACTTTAATCTGTAAAATTCGTTCCACCATGGAATGCATCGGTCTAAGTCCATAATAATATTGCACTTACTAAAGCTAACGAAGGATCAATTGCAGAAATATTCATACTGAAAGGAGGTGATACACAACAATGGTACGTCTGAAAATAAAAGAAAGTTTGAATGAGATCTACTGTATTGTGCAATAGTCTACTGGGGGAATTTATAGGATTTACGACAGGTGGCAAACAACAGAGTTGTTAAGTCTAGTGACAAGTCATTTAGTCCAAGTCAAGTCACAAGTCATTTTGTACAGTTCTTTTTACCATGAACTACTTGGGAGTCAGCCATGGAAATTATATCAATACAATATTATACTATGTAGCATTACAAAAAATATACTACAAAACATAATCCGAAGATTAGCATTTTGAAACCCAAAATATAAGTCAACCAAGAAAGTGAGTAATATTTCGATTTTATTACAAAATCATCATCAGACTAACTATAGTTACAATATATACATGGTCTTATATACAAGTTGGCAAGGCATGATGACATCAAACAGAAGTCTCAATCTGAACCACGACAAGTGCAGTGAGAAGTGTGATGAAATGTTGGTGTATAGATTAAGAAAAGAGCTTAAGTTCTTTGATGGCCTTGAATCCAGTGTTTAAACTGGGTGAATGGTACATGATATATATAGCCTGCATGGCAGGCGGTCTAAAATCCCAGGCTTTCCCGATTTTAGGGACGGCCTGCCATGCAGGCTAGATATATAGAGCTGCAACAAGTGAAAATTAGGTGTGCGAGAATTAATAGTGTGAAGAATTCAAGAGTTGTCAATTAAGTTGGAAATAGAATTGGAAACGCTATTGTCAGCGTCAGTTAGGTTGTTAAGTTTGTCAAAAGCAAAGTTGAGTTAAAAATTGAAACTTTAGTTAAAAATTGCATAAAGAAAATACAAAGATGCCTAACTGTTCCTGTAAATTTTATAGTTATTTATGACAACAAAAAGTTTTCTTATTTTCTTTCCAACAAAGACAAAATTCCGAATCTTTCAAAATCTAATGCAGTTTACGAAGTGACATGTCCTGGCTGTTCCGCAACGTATATTGGGAAAACAGAAAGACGTTTACAGACGCGGCTCTCTGAGCATACCAATCCGACCAAAAGTGCTATTGGATAACATTTTCACAACTACGAACATGTACAATACATTGTAAACCTATACACTTTGCTTTTGACAAACTTAACAACACAACCCTGACAATAACCGAGATAAAGCTGCTTACGTTGCCATCCGCGTCAATAACAATGGCGGACAAAATTTAGCTGATAAACCTAAACTTTAAAGATCTTTTTAGTTAACTAACCCACAGAGACTGAAGAAAAAAACAAAGAAAAAATAGAATGAAGGCAATTTAGATGTATATGAAGAAATATTAAGAGCCCAGTGATTTTCTGGCCGATAATGTTGACAAACATGGACGAATATATCGCAAAGAGCGGGCGTCCTAAAACAACAAAAAGATCAGTTTCGCATATGAATTTAATTTTGTATTTGTGTGGTATGGGATAAAAACCAAACATACTACTTGCAGGGAGGTTCGTCCGACATTGACGCAGCTCGGGAGCCTGGACGTTTCCTGAACTCACCTCGCTTCGCTCGTTGAGTTCGGGAAACTCCAGCCACCATCGGTGCGTAATATGTTTGTTATAAAGTCATTTCTTGCAACTTGCAAATCCAAGTCAAGTCACATGCTATTTTGTTCGAGTCCAAGTCAAGTTACAAGTCGTTAATCTGATTAACAAGTCAAGTCCCAAGTCACAAAAATTGCGACTCGAGTCTACAACACTGCAATATAACTTTCAAAACCGTGTGATCACGCAAGATTCAAGTGTCGCCTGTCCTGCAAGCATGATTCACCTACCCGGTCAACAGGCATCGTCATCAAACAAAACAAGTTACAAATATTTTCTCAAATACAAAATACCCTGGGTTAGAGTTTGGTTCTAACCAGCTTGCTACGAGCATTAAAACTAAGTAGACAAGTTTAAGGAGTTTTGTTGTCAAACTTCCACAGAAAAAACACATGCCAACATACCTCATCAGGAATATCACTAAACCTCTCTGGTACAATAGAATTCTGAGTAACATGGGGATCTAAGTACAACAACTTGCTTCCTATTTTAAATATTAAAAGAGAATAATATCTAGATTAGATGTGTCGATAGATCGCCGACGCCGAGATATTATGATACAAATTCGCCAATCAGGTAAGTCACAGGCTGCCTAGCCTACATGGTAGACTACCAACACGCTACCAAGTTACCAAACCCGAGACAGAACACCCGAGATCCAGGCAAATATCGCCAACCATGCAGGCTAGTCGGATACCTGGGCTGTAACGAGTTTTTATAATCACACGAATACATTTTCATAAAAACGAAAGTTATACATATATAGAACAAACTAACATTCTTACCATAACATCCAATGAAGTATGATGCATGATTAGGCCTTCCACCAATACAACCAAGAGACTGACGTATTGAAAAACATCTCTACAAACAACAAAAATTAAACAATCTACTGTCTTTTTATAACCATGAACAGGTTAGCCAAGCGTTGTTTCAGATAGGAAAATGAGGACTGAGTATGATATTTCATCATCAAGGCTGTCATTAAATTTAGAAGTAGGTGGCCAAAAGGTGATAGTAGCCGGGCAAAGGTATAACATGATAATTGAACGCCGATAGCGCAAGACTCCTAGAGTGGTCTGGGTGCAACCCCCGAAAAAATCTAAACACCCTTAAATGCCATATCCTTCATTTTGGGAGGTGATTTTATAGAGTTCTGAAGATTACAAAATGTCCTATATAGCCAGTTTAGAATCATCTTTTGTTTCACTTTTGATATTCTGAAGTAGAGGAGATGAAAAGAAGAAAGTATTGCTTACATTTCGTTTATACTGTATAAAATTTGTTGAGACAAAAGTAGGCGGCCACTGATAAGCAAGTAGCCGGTTATTGTGTGGCCGCCTGCCGGTCCTTAATTGCAGCCCTGGTCATTATAGACTATATTTTAAGTCCGAGCAGTTAGCTCCAGACAGGTACCACTCAGTCCTCATTCTCCTATCTGAAACATTGAATCCAAGAGTGCCAGTTGATCCTTACTTCCTCTCCTGGCTTCGACCAAGAGAATTTCCCAAACAATGAAAAGGGTTTAAACGTACCTTTAACGCAGTTTCGTACACCATATTCATGGTGGAAAGACCAAGACGAAGTGGAATAAATAAGACAAGTGGTTTCCAAAGTGGTTCATTTGTGTTGGGAGTATAATCGCATGCAGTTTGATTGTAATGTCTATTTCGTACTGTTGATTCAGCGTGGGCTTGATTTTCACAACTTGTATCTGATTCTTTCCTTGGTGAATTGACAGGTGATTTGCAGAGACATCCTGATGAAAAACAGAATGACAAAACACGACTGCTTGTTTATCAAACTATACGAACAATTACAGGGTTCTGAGCAGGACTCGGGTACGTGCTGGCTTGGGAACATGCTTCCCCTGCTAACTTTTCACATTTTAATGGTCATAATAACGACAATCCAAACAACGTGAAAAGCAACTTTTAAAAGTTGTAACTGTAAAGTTACCATTATACAAACAACTATAATACTAAAAAGTTGTATTTCGTGGTGCGGAGACTCTCAAACGTAGGAGAGGCAGTACCCCCACAATGGCGGAAACATTGGCCGTGAGAAAGACTAATTGTATATACAAACACATGTATAATTAACTCCAAGTCTCCAACATTCCCTAGCCCCATCTCATCCTATCAATCCAATCAGTGCAATCATGTTTCATGTCAAGATACTTTACGTACAGTAGGAGATGTCGGATTTACGGTTTTGAATACTTTGGAAAGTTTGCTGGTCATATTGTCACTTACTGTAGCTGAAGAAAATGCAGGATTAATTAAAAGTTTCCGTTGTCAGAAAGGTACACGGTATGAAAAATAATAAAAAAATAAATTACTCACTGATGTCATTTATAACTACTGTATTGTCCATGGCCACATGTATAGCAATTTTACTCCATTTATCAAATTGAGCCAGCTTTCTGTAACAATTGATCACAAATATTAGCAGTCGATAAAAATATCCAAGAATATTGAGGAGGAATTCTCCGCGCGAAGCGGAATTTCTCCTTGTCTTTTCTAATTAGTTCCACCCGAGAAATCACAAGACAAATTCCGCTCCGCACGGAAAACGGCCTTAATGAGAAAGTTACAAGCTAATGGAAACAAACATTGTTTGTACTATTGTATATGGTTCATTGCAAGTAAACATATGTAACCATGCAAAATGCCTTAATACTATTCTCATGAGGGTGGCATGCATGTCTCCTACGTTTAATAATATGGTGTCCCATGTCCGCCAAAAATCAACTTTTGCATTTCACCATATCATATTTTGAGGATCATATTCATTTTATTAAAATAACAACATTGTTTTTGAAGATCACCAGTTTATCGGTTGAAAACACAACTTATTTTTTGAAGACCAACTTTTGATACCCAACCGCAATCCAATGTCTTTGTTGTTCGCGGGCTCATATTGCCGTGATTTCCCGCTAAAATCATCTCTGTCTGAAACACATGTTTATCAAACAATGGCGGAGTTGAATCAGGTTAGAGGGACACTTCTGAAGGTTGCTGACCAAATATCGGCCTTAGGGAGCAACAAATCTTCATCAGGTAAAGTACTAAAGTAATTAAACTTTTTATATATTCAGTGTTTTATTTTCCTTATCCATTTTGTACAGGCTGGCCCGCTTTAATATGTAAATTCAAGAACATGAATTATTCATATACTGTACAATGTACATGATATGTATTATATAAATAGTTAATTATGATTTTAATATGATATGGTGTTGGCGGCTCGTATTTGACTTTTGATCAGGTTAGATTGCAGAATACCCCTCCATTTTCTACATTACACAGTATTAAAGTTGTTGTATTGTTGGCACTTGTTGCAATTTTAGTTGCGATTTTTTCCTGCACTATACTGTAGGAAGCAATTTTGTATTGGGAGGACTGATATATATTTAATAGTCAGGAGCGATTATTTAAATTAGGTCATTATTTTTCTCTCAAACTTTACAGTTTATTGCTAGTTTACAAATTATCATGCAACCCTAATAAAAAAGTAGCATTATAATGGTCAATTTATGATAAATTCTTGATGTATTCACTTAAAAATAGAGACAACAAGTAGCAGACCACCTGAGAGTGAAGCAACAACAAGCAGTTCTTCCAGTACTGCCTCCAATGCTGCAAGTGAGCACAGGCGACTTTTCAACTTTGGGAAAACTCGTCATTTAGTTACCAAAAGCAAAGGCAAACAAAGTACGAAGGGCAAGGGAAAGCAACCTGCAACAAAGTTTAAATTTGTTTGTCTTGCGGATAGCACAACCAACTGCCCTCCTTTATCTGTGAAAGAAAAAACTGATCTTTGTAATGCAGGACTTGGTGATACTACAATACTCTTGGAGCTGAATGATAGCAGTGTATATCTTCATGAAGAAGTTCTGAAAACCTTTCCCAAACTCAGTGATACAGGCGGTTATGAACTGTTATTGCACCAGAGAGGAGGCGGGGAGAATGGAGGATTTCATACAATCAAGCCCCCGTTCTGCAGTTTGCGACTGAAGGATGTCTGTGGCAAAGCAAAAATATATGTAAGGCCTTTGCAAAGAAACATCCCTCTTGATTCCTTTGATGATGAAATTCCAGAAGAGGAAAATGAGGTATATGTGTGATATATTATTTCGTATATATGTTGCTTTTATAACTACCATTACAGAGTGACCTACCTGCATTCACCACTTTTCCTCACAAAACTACCAGATGGACAAGTTCTGATTCCCAGAACTATTTTTTAGATTTTGTAAGATTGCCATGTGATAACACTGTTTCTGAATTTATTGATTATGCACTTTTGGTACTTGGTGTATAGGGGTCAGTTGGTTCCCTCAGAAGGGTCCGGGCTATCTTGGCTTTACTATAAGCTCACTATAAAGGAGGCCCTGAAAAGAACCTTGAAAGCAGGGGCCCAACAGGCTTTACTATATATAAATAGTGTTTTATGTAAAGTATTCAACTACGTATATTTACTTATTTTGTCCCAATAAATGATCGTAAAAATCAGTGCCAATTATATTTTACACAAAATAGCAAGCAGGCGCTTGCAACCTGAAATCTCTCAAGCAGAAATTCGCCAATTTCAGTATTCAAATGTAGCACATAACAATTATAACATTTATTTACTATTTTTCCTTATAAATAGAAATTCAATAAGTATTTTTAAATTTCTCCAATAAAGCATTCTAAATTAACAATGGGGAAATATGATCAAACTTTCCTGAATCCCTACAAATTCAACAAGCAAAATTTTAAATTGTTTTACAATAGTTTCTTGATGCATGTTTTTTATATTCCTTATTGTTACTGTCATGAACTCTCTTATGTTATCTTGCATTGAACACAGCTCCCCCTGTCCCCCCATGTTAAATATACTGGGGAAATATGTTTTGCCCCCTCCCACCCATGCACCCCCACCCATGCACCCCCACCCATGCACCCCCACCCACCCAAAGAAAAATGTTTTTAGACATAAATTACTGAAAATATGATTTTGTAAGGATGGAATTTCAAAATTTTCTGGGGAGGCATGCCCCAGACCCCATCTGGGTGGGCTCTTTGGAAACACCTATCTCCTCCTCCACCAATATTTAAGATCTTCCTACGCCCTTGATTTATCATGCCAGGCAATTATTTGACTACCGTATAGGTAAATTGGGGTGAGCCTGTTGTTTCATGCTATACTTGTGGTGAAGTTGTCCATATGGCTAAAATGAAAGAGCATCAGAAAACACACCCTAGCAAGGAGTTTGTTTCTCCAGAAGTTAAGGTATATATGTATTATGTTTACAATTACATAAATTATCATGAAATTGAAAGTAGTGGTTGAAATTTTACCAATAAAAGATTGATTTTTTTTTAAGAAAAAGAAAATTTCAAATGCCTTTTCCAGGTTAGTACAAGTAGACTGGTTTACCAGAATGTTTATCACATCATTGCGCATTCATAATTGTTGCAATAATGTTTGGTATGCGGACAGGGCCGTAGCAAGGGGGGTATTGGGGTGGGGGGGGGGGTTAACTCCCCCAATTTTTTCAGAATTAACATATTCGGAAAATCGGGTTGGCCATTCGGAAAATTACGGAAATAATAGCATGACAAAATTTTAGTTGTTAAATTAACATTTAACAAATCGTAAATCGGTAAATATTTTTCGATTTATTACTTCTCATGGCCGTAGTAACCGGGGTGGGGGGGGGGCCTGGGGGAATGCATTATTCTTTTTTTCAAAATCGTGCAGACCTTTATCATTTAAATCATATACCTTTAAAATACTGACAATTGATTAATTTTAAGCGGCTACATTATCTGTGACAAACTGCAAAAAATCATATTACCCATACTTTCCTGCAACTTCTCCAATATATAGTTAATTAAATACGCATTCGCCCATTTAGTACTACTAAATTGCATGAAAACAATTTGTAAATTTCGACATACTAAAACGCTGTTTTCTGACCATCAGAATTCTGTCAAAACTTCCCCCCAAAATCCAGGGAATGACATTTCAGAGACTCTAAATTTTAAAATTTCCACAGGCATTCCGCCCTCGTTCTCAGCCCCCAATCACTGCATGCTACTCAGCTACTGTAATATGTCTGTACGCCTTTGTGGCTTCGTATGCCATGAAATATTTGGAAATTTTTTTCGTCATTCGGCAATTTTCGGCCAACACCCCCAACTATACATGCTACAATCTTGGACAAAACCCTTGAGACCATTCCAGCTAATATTACAAAGTTATTGAACATTGACAAAACAAACTTTGTCTCCCCCTCCCCCCCCCCCCAGTTCAATGTTGTGAACAATGCCGAAACAACTTTTGGTAATATACCATGATACAAGCTTAACATTGAGTTGGGGGAGCGGGGGTTTAAGAATGGCAACATGAAACATGGAGTTTATCATAAAAATACGCGAATTTTCTATAGGGG